CACCTCAATTTTGTATGCAATTTCAGATATTGCATTTGTGTATGCCATTTCACTGTTAAAGCCATCTAATTATTATTGGTCTTTATAAAGGTGACAATGTAGGGGTAACAAGGACGTTATTCAAATAAATAGGCAGCAAAAAAAAAAAATCAGAATAAAAAAGTACTAAGAAAATTCTTGGAAAAGAATTCCAAAACGTGTTGACTGATAATATATATTTATATCTGTACAAGCCCAAATGGCCTAGCCCTAGACCGACATTACAAAAATCGAGTGATGGGTCCATTCACCAAGGTTCACAAAGCAGATCGTCTCCGAAAAGGTAAAGCAGCCGCTCCACGGCCCAGCTAGGCTCGTTGCTGGGCCAGATCAAGGCCTGAGAAGACGCGAGCAAAGGGGCCCGACACAGTGGACAGGTCTTGTGATTATCCTCGTGATGATCGACCCATCTGTCGATGCATTCTCGATGGAACACGTGGCAGCAGTTCCTGAGCTCCCGAACCTCGTCTCTTTGCCCTAGCTGCCCTAAGCACACGGCACACGTGTCGGAGACCCACGGCAGTCTCTCCTTGACGTCGTCGAACGTCGACAGTACGAGGCTGTCCCGTATCGCCTGGGAAGAAACCGGCGGAGAGGAAGAAGAACAAGAAGCAGAACTGTTTTCTTCAGACGGCGGAAAAATGGTTCTGTTTCCGAAACTGAGCGACCAAGACAAGACCCATCTCAATACGGCTAGTACGAGTGCTGTTTTGTTTAGAACATAGGTTACCATAAGACTCGGATCCTGGACAAAGAAACCCATTGAGAAAAATGGAGTCGAAATGGGAAGGAAGGGAGTAGGCAAAACCAGAAAAGGAAGGAAGAGGGGAAAGAGAAAGGAAAATCAGGGGGATATATAAAGGCGAAGGATGCTGAGGAAGTGGAATTGCTTTATTGAGTTGGGATTTTATTAGGTCACTATAGGTGGCATTCGTGGAAGGCACAGCTCAATTGGACGGTGAACGCATATGTCAAGCATCCTTTTTTATTAGTCTTGAGTAGGATAATTGGATAGGAAAAGTAAAGAGGCATATGGATTAAAGTTAAAAACAAAGTTAAAGTAAAGCATAGGCAACTTGATAGGTAATGGGTATTAATTTGGAAAAGCATTACTTTACATGTGACACACGAAATGATATGAAATATCATATCAGATATATAATTAATTTTTTTTATCTTAATAATATAATAATAAATAATTATCTTTCATTTTTTATCATATCTTATCATTAACCATACATTTTGAATTTATAATCTTTTATTTTTAATGAAAAAATATAATCACTGAATTATTTAAATCGTTGATTATAATTAATTGTTAGATACACAATTAAGTATTTGAATGTTTTGATTATTATTATACCAATTAGTTAGATATATAAACAAGGATTGATCATTGATCCCATGCGGTTGGAACGGACATACATCTGCCATGACACTGATTTGTTTCATCTTGTGTTGGCAAAGGAGAAAGAAATAAAAAGGAAAAGAAGGGATTCCATTTCCACCTCCACCTCCACCATTGTCATTGAAGCATCATCTTGGATTGTAACAAAAGAGAGAAAAAGTAATTCCAACGGGGTTCGGTGGAACAGAAAGAGAGGATCCCACATGGGATTGCTTTGCCTTTTTGCGTAGCGTGAGAAAGGACAGCGGGGGCGACGCGTTAGTTTCCACCAAATCCTAGTCAGATTCCACGAGGCAACATCATCATCATCTACATTTTACTTTTGGACTAAACTTAGCAAAGAATTAAAGCGGAAAAGAAAAGGGAAAATTACAACAGACGGTTTCAGTTTTGTCTTGGAAAAGTTCGTTATCTAAAAGCCTCCATTGCCATTGCTTCACAACGATCACAACATAAGATCTTGGGAGAAAAAAGTATCCTTCGACCCGTTCGAACTTCAAACAACTACAACTCTTAAATCTACAAACTCATCTTGATATTTAGTTAGCTATCATAAAGAAAACTCGGGTGATAAATTGGTAATGATAATGTGAACCGATGAAAAGAGGTAGGAGATAGAGGATAAACACAGCATGGGTAGAGAGACTAGAGTTGAACATTCAAAGCTTTGAAGGGATGCAAGATATAGAAAAGTTAAACGTGGAGAGTCGACAAACGTTACCCAAGTCTATTGCATGACATGTACATTTGACCTTAACCGTAATCCATGTCAGATTGACATAAAAAGAGATGGCTGCTGTTATATTTGCATGTCAGTTAAAGTAGCAGGTAGCTGGACAAGCTGTAACATACTTCAGCAAACATCGTGATGATAAGGAGACGACAAAAGCATCCTAGGTAATCCGCTTAGGATTAACCAAAATATGTTTGGTCTTATTCTTATCTATACAAACAAAGAAGACAGCTTCAAACGTATTCCAGGCCCTACCAAAACAGGTTTACAAGCACACATGTGAACTCAATAATCTTCTTTGCGGCAGACATAAACAGACTATTATTGACTTGGAAGAGGACTTCTTTTTTTTTTTTTTTTTATCAAAACTCCGTATGTTGAAGTTTCTGTACTGGTACCATACTGCACACAACAACCCCAACCAGCACCTGATCAAGAGAAAGTCTCTAGGTAAACTGAAGCTTGTTCTTGTAGCTCATAGTTAGAGAAAGTTGTGTTTTCTCTCAGACGCTCTGATCTAGGCCATGCTAGTCTCTCTCTTTCAATTTCATTCGCATCTTGTATTGCAAAGTTGCTGGAGCACAATCAAGCGGTGTTTCCCCTGAAATTTTATGAACGTGATGAAGAGTTAAATCCTACAGCTTCGTCAGATCAGCTATTAATTAAACCCAACAATGGAAAGAGAAACATCATTCTTCCAAATCAAGATAGTTACTGTTTCAACCACCTAAATCCACAGTCAATGCTGTGTGGTTGATGATTGCTTCAACTACAAAATCAACAAGACAATAGAACTAGAAGTTATAACTGGAATTATATTAATTACCTTGTGCATTCTTATAGTCCACACTTGCTCCACATTCCATGAGGGCAAAAGCTATATCTGTTTGATTAAATAATGCCGCCTATATCCAATAAATACTGTCATCACTATCAATGTTTTGAATGAATGGAATTGAACATGGTAACATACTATGTTTTCCAGGCATGGAGAGAGAGAATGTACCAAATGCAGTAAAGATGATCCTTGTTTGTCATGGTAGTTTGCATCAACACCCTGCCCATGTAACAATTAACAATGATTAAATTCCTTTTCAATTTCAATTTTAGAAGAAAATCATGACATACCTCACTAAGAAGCCTCTTGGCTGCAGCTGTATCACCATTCTTAATAGCTTCTCTTAAACCCTGGGTGCAGCAAATACATGAATCTATGATCATTGATCAACAAGAAGGAAAATGCTTCTGGAGAATTTAATTTCTCAAAACTACTTAGATACATTATCAAGAGTTCATACCTCTCCATTTACTTCATAGTCCACTTGAGGTTTATCTTCATTGCCATTAGTCACCAGACCGGGATTGAAAATTGAGCTGCAAATCCATAAGTTAAATATTCACATTAGAAAATTGCCTCAGAATGCCAATAAGTCAAATTTTAACATCTAGCTGACAAACCACCAGAGTTTGATTATAAAAAAAATGAGAACACAAGCTCTTCAAGGGCAGATGATAACTAAAGGACACTAAAAATACAGCAATGGAGAGAGTAGACCTGTTTAAAACCACCTGTAACATTGGGAAAAGGCAAAAAAGTGAACGATAATATTAATACTAAAAATTGCATACCTAGGTTTGCTGTTTGAAGTAGACCCTCTACTCCTTGGAACAGCGTCTGTCTTTTTTGGTTTTGAAACTGATGAAACTGTAAGTGATGAAGTGGGCTTTGTCTGCATCAGAAACAGTTAAAGTGAATGACAAAGATTGGAAGGAGAGGAGATGCATCTTAAACTATTCAAGAACTCATACCTGTGGCACTACTGCATCTGTAGATGGTGCTGGAGCTTCACAGATGCATAAAGGCATCCCGCATTTGCAATCTGGAATGCCTGTGGCAGGTTGATGCTGTGTGATTGGTTCAGTTTTTGAACCTTGATCTACACCAATGTCTAATCTTGAAACATTGTCTGATACAGAATCAACTCCATATGAAGAAGCCTGTGGTTCAGTCTTCTCAAATCTGTGCCAAAAAGGAAAAAAAAAGTCAAGGTATCATATTAGTTCTATATGCCTCTACAAATAATGCACAGTAAAGCATAGTTCTGGAAAAGGATCTCTAAGACAAGACATCTAAATGAAGAATATTTATTCATAGTTCTCTGCTAGTCTGCACTATTTCCACATAAGCAAGTTGTGTTATATGTCACTTTATGTCTTCATTCCACCTCATAAAATCTTTAGTCGGTAAAATGTTTGCCCAATTAACAGGCAAGACAACTAACGAATGACATTTTATGTGTACCATGCACAAGTGTGTATTGCTGGCATTTTATGTGCACGTATTAAATCAAGATTGATTTACCGTGTGGAGTTATTGAAACAATCTGCACAAACTCTAACAGCTGAATGTATGCCAAATTGAGGTAAAGCCTGAATTCATGCATGGTAAAAGAGAAGATAAAAGATTGCTTGGTTAACATTGCTTTATCCAAAAATATTCCCAAAAAATTGGGAGGGGGGAGGGGGGGGAAGAATTTTAAACCCAAATATTAAATGAATGATGGAGATTAGAGCTCAAACCATTTGATTTGATGAATGTTCATTGCATAATGTCCTCCCACAACAACGGCAATGATGCTGCAAAAGAGAGGGAGAAAAAATCCAAAAGAATGTTTGGAAGTAGCACATGGAAAACGAATTGAAGTGAAGTCAGACAAAGATCTGGAAAGACATATTTTACATCACCATACAATATTCATAAGAAAATGCACAGGGAATTACATAAGTTGTTCAATTTTTTCCATTCAACCAAGAAACTTCACGATGAGATTTGTGCAAAATGTCCTTAACAATGGCATATCATCAACATTTTGAGTATAGCCCCCAGAGATACGAATCATAGATAAAAAAAAATCGAGAACTAAATTAGTTTTTAGGACATGACATTGCAACCTGCCATTGCATTGATAACAAATGTGTTAACTTTTAAACATCACAACAAGCTGGAACCAATTATCCTGCTATTGCTAATAGAAAATAATTTGGCTCTGTTAGTCGCACATTGGTTGTTTCAAAAACAAACTCAAGTTTACTTATGAACTCCTGTAAAGTGTAAACACAACACCTAGTGTGCACCCAGTTCAATCTTCAGGATGATGGATTAATTCAAACTACCCAATTCAATTCATGAACTTATTAGATTAGCATCCTTATTGACAAACCCCATTAGATTCAGAAAACTCCCCAATTATCCTGCCTACATCAATCGACTCAAATAGATTGGATCAGATGAACTCTGAAATCTCATCGGTGATCAAAAGGGTTGTCTATAAACATCATCATGAATCTAATTTGTACATAATCAATCCAAAGGAAGAGAGATTGAATTGAATAATTGAAAAGGGAAAGTACCCGACGCCGGAAAGTGTTGAAGCTGCATTTGCAGACGTCGCAGCGAGCTGCTTCCTCGAAAGGCGGGGGTTCCAGTGGCATTTCCGGTTTTCTATTTTCCATTTTAGGGCAATTTCCTTCTGTCTTCCGGCCTAAATCGGTGAAAAATAGTCAATTGCGGAGTCCGGTCCTTTCCCCGACGACATCAAGGCAGGTTTTATTTATTTTCGATACTCCTATAGTTAACATGATACATACTATTATACTATTGTGAATTTATAATTGTTATATAATACTTTTTAGTTTATTTCTAATAGATTTTTAAAAATTTTTTAAATATAAATTTTAAGTTAAAATTTAATAATTTATATAATTAATAATTAAAATTTTGTAAATAATTTAATTTAAATAAAAATAATTGTAATTAATATTTATATAATATGTTAAATTTTTATTTAAAAAATTCAAAAAATTATATCTTATTATATAATTAAAATAATAAATAAATAAATAATACTTACCCACCTTATTTTTTTAAAAACGAAAAGGAAAGACTTAATAAAACGTCAATGTTCTACCCCATTGTCATGTCCCTTGTTTTCTTTTCCTTTTTTTCTTTTTCGGGCAACCCCTTCATCTTTTTTTTATGGGCAGCCTTAATTTCTCATATCTCTAGTCTTTCCTCCATTGATTTCCCTCTTTCTTTCTCAAATTTCATTATACTTGTACTTCGGTTTATTTCGATTTACTTCAAATTTTGATTAATTATGAGCACTTGAAAGGTGTAGAGAAGAGTCAATTGTTTGCGTTCCTTCAACTAATTTTTCATCATCATCTTCTAATTAGTTCAGAGAAGAAGAGTTTCGGGTTTCTAACTTTTTTTGAGAGTTCTGTAAAGGTATACATACACAAGACACACAGGACAGAGCTCAATGCTCTGTCGCACCTCGATTCTTTACCACAAGAGTATACATAAGACAAGGCAGAGCTCAATGCTCTGTTGCACCTCGGTTCTCTGCTACAAGTGCATGATAATTACAATAAAAATACTCTTATCCAATTATTTGTTTTTACTTGATTTTTCTTTTTTAAGTAAGGGACTTATTTCATTGGAATACACCATGTGTATTTAATGCAGTTGTTTCGCTAAGATATATTATATTCACTTAAGACGTCTATTCTGTCAAACATATCATATCTTGATTATTATGTTAAATAAATCACGTCGGTGTAGATAAACCACATAAGTACTTTATCAAAATGTACAAGACTCACAAAGAAAAATATTATATATATACATAATAATAAAAGAGGATATTCATTAAAAAAAATATTAATTCAAGCATCGAACTTTCTCTCTGAAGGCCAACCTCGAGATTTTACAGAATTACATGAAAAAAAGATGCACAAAAAGAAGATCTTGAAGGTTCTCTGCAACCACAGGCTCCTTCGACTCATCGAGAAGAGTCAATTTTTTGTGCACTTGGGGTTGTGGTTTCGTTGTGTTATCGTGCCGTGACTTTTACTCAGTCAAAACAAGACGAAAAGTGGCAGCCTGTGGAAAAAAAAAAATTGAAAACAAGGACACGAGAACAAGTTATATCATGTCGTTTTATTAAACCTTACTTCTTAAATAGGAGATAAAATAAATAAATATTATTGTCATACCATAAATAAAATATTTACCATTTACAAACTTAATATATTATAATAATGTTACTTTCGATGCGGCAGTATGTACCATAAAACAAATTTTCATATAGATTTAGTGGGGTTACTCTTGTTTGTGTGGAAGTATCAAAACGATCCGACCTGTTATTTACTGACGTACCCGGATTTTGATTTGATCCACTGACCCGACCCGCCATGATTGATTAAAGAGTAGGCGAGACTGGAAGACAAAAGACTAGAAATCCCTTGGAAAGTTTGCCTCTGGGTCTGGGGAGTTTCCTGCTGTGGAAAATTTGCTACAAAGTTTTGTCGAAGAGTTGCTAAATTCCTCGAAATGTTGTCAAATTAGCTTAACTTTTTCGTCTTCTAGTGAAAATCTTATCTATTGAGTAAAAACTTCTTCCTTAGCTGCCTAACTCTTGACTCACTTGGTCTTTCAAGCAGTTAGAAAAGTCTCAAGAGGAGCCGCTGCCCCCCAAAAAATTTTAAAACCTCTATTTATCGTTGAGTTTTTTCTATTATTTGGCTACTTAAAATTTTATTTTTTAAAAGTTACACTCAAGAGTTTTTTTTTTTTTTTTTTTTTTTTTTTTGAAAATTTTCTCTTTTTTTCTTTTTTTTGTTTGATTTTTTTTGTATTCATTGCATCCACTGTACTGATTTTCTATCTCATTTGAATTGTTAATTTTTTATGGAAAAAGAGTAGAATTAAACTCCTTTTTTTTTTTTTTAATTGTAAACTCAAATTCAACACTTTAAATTTCTTTTATTAAAAAAATCAATTAAATTAAAGAATAAAAAAAAAAAGAGTAAAAAGGAGAATATTTCTGGTCCCCCTATAAATCCCACGGTGGTTTGTAATACCGTGTAGCAACGATTTTGACGAGCAAGTAATGGTATACAGCGCCTGAATTCTGGATCGCCGGATTTCTGCTGTTAAAGGTCGCCGAAGGGTTTTCTCTGCCCGTCGGAGAAGGGCCTTTCTTTTTTTTTCTGAA